GTTTTAAAAGTCTCATTCTCGACTTTTAAATAATTTGTCTCCCTGGCACTAGGAACTTAATTCATTCCTGGTTCCTTCTTCTTTCAAAATATCAATCTACCTATTGCTTCCTGGCATAAGGAGTTTACAAATGATGTCACAACTAACACTGTCATTCTTGGCTATTCCCACTCCACCTACATCATCCACTTTTTCAAGATCAAGTTCAAACTTACTTCCATCTTTACAAACCACCTCTTAGCTCAACTTAATGTGAACCACACTTGATTCCTTAAGCATGTACCATCTCATGTATTGTTTTCAATAAAATTTAGATACCTAGAGATAGGAAATGTTTACTAATTTCTTATATCTCCCATAGTACTTAACAGTATTATGCACTTAGCTCATGCCAGTAAAGTCACAGATAATCAGACAGAAGTGACTTTAATGATCATCTAGCCCAAACCTTTCTTCTATACCTTTCTTATGTGAATTATGCTTGACAACCAGAATGCCACCATTTACTTTATTTAGAAAAATGGTTCTTAACCCTTGGGTTAGGAATCTGGAGGGGAGGGGGAAACACGACTTACAGAGAACTTTTATGTAATTTCAAGAATTTATAGAATCCCTGAATCCTATTATAGTAATGAAGCCTTTTTTTTAAATCCTCACCCAAGGATATTTTTTTTAATTGATTTTAGAGAGAAAGTGGGTGGGGGAGAGAGAAACATCGATGTTTGAGAGAAATATCGATCAGTTGCTTCCCAGGGCACCTAGATGTGTGCCCTGATGGGGAACCGAACCTATAATCTTTTTGGTGTATGGGACAACGCTCAACCAACTGAGCCACCCAGCCAGGCGGAGCCCACATTTAAGAATAATATACTATCATCCACAACAAAAATAGGTGTTCATTGTGTGCCAAACACTATTTTAAAGCTTTACACAGGGTAGTACATGACTAGATCACGTTTTCCAGCATTCCTTGCAGTTAGATGAAACTATGTGATTAAGTTCTCCCCAATGGAATATGAAAGTAAGTGACAGGCAGAACTTGTGGGCTGCAACTCTTAAGAGAAATGTGCCTCCTCCACACTCTCCACCTCTCACAGGCTACCACCAGGACTTCTCAGCCAACCAGCTTTGACTACTCAGAAGACTGATGTAAAAACAAGCTGGAAAGAGCCTTAATCCCTATCAACTCTGAGGAAAGCCACCCCAACATCTAGGACATCTGAACTGGACTGCTAGGCAAGAAAGAACATAAACTTCCATCTTATTTGAACCATTGTTTGGGGTGGATTATTTAATTATAGCATCTTAAACTCCCCTAATTAATACATATAGATTACCAGTTAATCCCCTCAGCAATCGTATAAATTTGTTATTATTATCCTGATATTAGAGGTCAGGAAAAAAAGGTACTAAGAACTTATGAAATTTGCCTGACACTCCTGGAAGCCAGATCCAAGCCAAGCAATCTGGCTCCAGGGTCCAAGCACATTAGAAACCCTGCCAAATATCTCAAAAGAAACAGCTATTCTTAGGTGTTAAGCCACTCTGCACAAGATTTATTTTTTTTACAACCACCTCCCGAATTCCTTATTGACTAGTAGGGGGATGTGCAAATAAATATGTACATTCAAAAATGACACGTAATTAGCATTTACTTGCTTACTGTGTACTAGTCACTGTTCTATGCCACATATATTAACTAATTTAATCCCATGACGTTGGTTTATTAATATCTCAACTGTGCAGATGCTGCAGAGAAACATTTAGGCAATATGTCTTGAAACACACAATTAGTAATTGAACAAATTGGATTAGAAACCCAAGCAGCAGTCAGACAAGACCTTAGGCCCTTACAAGGGTCTGAACTTCACCCTATTGGTTGGTGGTTCCCAAGTGGGGCTGGTGTTATCAAAATATATGTACCTACCAAGTCCCTCAGGGTTGAGGAAGTGGGTATCCCCTCTGTTGAGGATGACTGCCTTTGTAAGTAAGCCTCTTTGCTACTGGGAAGGTTCCTAGCCTATCAGTGTTGAGGTAAACGAACATACAAAAATAGACAACTGCTATTATACAGGAGATGGGGAGTCACTGGGCTTATGGGCAAATAATTCCAAAAACAATACTCCCCAGGAAGGGAAATGTAGCTTTGAGTCCAGTCACACTAGTTGGAAAGGTCCTAGCCTATTTCTCTTAAATTTAAAGCTACCTAAACAAGTAGGCTCAATGTTTTTCACTCATGTGCTTTAAGTTGAGATAATAGTTTTCTGCTACAGAAACCTTTTAGCAGAATAATTAACACGGTTTAAAATACTACACTGGAGAACCATGGCCTCTGCCCCCTCACTACTTTCAAAATAACTATATTTACAAGGGTATTTCCCCCATTTGCATTTTCCACACTAAGTTTTGAGAAGAAATGAAAAACATTCTTTACAATTTATCTGCCACCCCCCCCCCTTTTTTCCTTTGAAACAACTATCTTGGTTTACATTAGCACAAAGTTTGCCTAAACTGAATCACAGGGCAACAGAAAACATTTCATCTCATACCTCAGAAACAAGGAAAATAAATCTCCAAGAGGTAAAACGACTTGCCCAGAGTAACTAAGCCAGTGAGTAGAGAGCTGTGACTTGAACCCTGGTTCTCTGCCACCAGGGCCGGTGACAAAGGCTTACAACTAGTGGTAAACGGATGCTTTTAGCTCATTCACAAACATTTTTTATCATTATAAGGAATATAATCTCCACATCTAATCCATAGTTTCACAGCTATTACTTCTTAAAGATAAGCTGTTTTTTAAAAAGTGACTTGTAGCCCAGCCGGGCATGGCTCAGCGGTTGAGCATCGACCTAGGATACAGGCGATCAGGGTTCGATTCCCGGTCAGGGCACATGCCCGGGTTGTGGGCTGCAGCTGATCAATGGTTCTCTCATCATTGATGTTTCTATCTCTCTCTCCCTCTCCCTTCCTCTCTCTGAAATCATAAAGATATATTTTAAAAAAAAATAAAATTAAAATAAAAAGTGACTTGTAGAGCCCTGGCTGAGTGACTCAGCTGGTTGGAGCATCATCCTTTACACCTAAAGTTGCAGGTTCAATCCCTGGTCAGGGCACCTACAGAAGGCAACCAATCGATATTTCTCTCTCAAGCTCTCTCCTCCTTCCTCTATCTCTAAAATCAATTTTTTAAAAAAAACATCCTTGGGTGAGGAGTAAAAAAACAAAAAAAGTAAGTTGTATTTAGTAAATAATATCACAATACCCATCTAACACAAATATGGAAAGTTGGGAAGGGGGTATGCAAATGACTCAGATTTGCAAAACAATGCTTCTTGTGCCTCTCCTACTAATTTAAGGGTTGAATTAATAGTAAGCAGGGCCCTGGCCAGTGTGGCTCAGTTGGATGGGCGTCCTCCCATGCACCTAAAGGTTGATGGTTGATTCCTGGTCAGGGTACATGCCCAGGTTTTGCCCCCAGTAGGGGGCGTGCAAGAGGCAGCCAATCAATATTTCTCTGGCTCCCTCTCCCTTCCTCTATCCCTAAAAATCAATAAAAATATAGATTTTTTTAAAATTAGCAAGCAGGTCATTAAGGATTAATCTCTTCCTCTCTAATTCATATACTTCATTTTTTCTTGTCTTATTGTATTGGCTAGGATCTCCAGTACAATACTGAAAAGAACCATTACTGACAGTATCCTTATCAGATTCTAAATTTAATGCTACTTCTAAAGTTTCACCATTAAGCATCATGTTTTTTTAGATTTTTAGTAGATACACTGTTTTTTAGTAATGGATATTTCTTCCTATTCCTAGCTCAGTAAAAAAATTTTTAACACTAATCTCTAACCCACCCTTCACCATTCTCCATGCCACCTTCCACTCCTCTTCCTTTCTCTTACTTCAGCTTCCTTTCTACATTCTCTGCACCTCAGAGTACTCTACCTGCCACCCAAAGTAACTGAGACTCTTTTAAAATATTCTGGGTTTCTATACCTATCTCCTGTTTCAGTTCCCTAGAGCAAAATGTTTCTAAAACTGATAACCTAGAGAAAAATCCTAAAACAGACACTATTTTGATCACTTACAGACCAGTTCTCTCCATGCCTCAAACACAACCTTCAATGTCTTCCCTTAGTTAAACTACTCAGGGGGGGAAAGATGAACAAAACTGTCCTGGATTTCTGTTAACTTTTCTTCAGAGCGTGGCTCTGAATGAGTCTGCTGAAGTAACTAAGAGAACCTAGAGGATTTTAAAGAAGTTTTGAGGAACGCAGCTGGATCCAGATGTTGCTAACTTCTACTCTCTCCTTTGCGCAAATAATATTAAAGAAAAAAAAAGGAAAGGGACAGGGGTAGTATTTGTCAGCAAATAAGGCAGTTCCAGGATATAAAAACTGAAGAGACCAGAAGGGGAAATCAACCCTTTAAAGCCCAAACAAGTTATGATTTCTTTCCCTCATCAGTTTTTCTTTCAAAACAAAAGAGCACACACAATCTTTCCCGAGGCAGCGACCGAGGGGAGCAGCCAAAATGTTGCATCATACAAAACATTCCGCGTTTGAGAAACAAGAAAACCAGATGGTGGTAAAACACCTAAAACAGGAAAACCCAAGTTGGGAATCTCGGGCTTTTCCGGAAGCCCAGGAATGTCTGCTTTTAAAAAAAAAAAAATTAAGATTGCATGGAAAATGAAAGTTAGCTTCATCCCATCGGGGAGAGAAATGTTCTTTCAGAAAGCGTCCAAAGAAGTTCAGTTCATCTCACCACTGGCTCGAGCTTCTGCTCCCCGGCTGGGGGTGGGACCCGAGGGCCGAGGGGTGGGATGGGGGCCCGGGGCCCAGCGCCCGGGCGGGGATGGGTGACAGGACCCACCCCCGCCCTGGTCCTGGGGACCTCTGGGGCCGGAGGGGGACCACGGTGTGGCGTCTGCCGGAGCCCGCAGGGCTGGAGGCGGTGACCGCCGCCCCGGAGTGCTAGCTTTCGGGGGTCCNGCTCACCTTGACGAAAAGCTCAATGATGGGCTCTTTGTCTTCCTCCTTCAGCCCGTTCAGCGGCATCGACAACGCCATGGCCGGGTCGACTAGGCTCCGCGGACACCGGTGGGGCGACTGCTTCTGCTCCGGGGATGCTCTGGTGGGGACTCGCCGCGCCTTCCCGGACAGTCCCGGCGTGGAGCTCGCCTCCGCCTCGGCGCCTCAGCACTTCTTCACGCCTCGAGCGCGACTCTGGGGCGGCCNNNNGGGGCGGCCGCAGCCGTAGCGGCTTCAAGCCACGGGGCGGGGCCCGAGGGCGGGGCCCGTTGGGGGCGGGGCCAAGGCCCTGAGTGATCTCTCAGGGAGGAACGAGACCGCCGGGCCTCGGGGGCGTGGCCTCGGGCGGGAGAGGAAAGAAGACCGCGCGGGCTCGCGGACGCAGCTCAGAGGGCGTGGCCCGGGCGGGGGCGTGGCCTAGGCCGGGCTGGGGCGGGACCCGGAGCCACGCCTCCCGAAGCGGTGCAAAGGAAAGTCCCGCAGGGATCCGAGCCTGACACCGCCTCCCGCCGCAGCGCGGGCGGGGCCCCGCAGCTGCTGCTGGCGTCGTGCCAGGTGACCTCACGCCTGCAGCCCGCCCGGGGAGCGGAGCAGGCGCTTCCTGCCGCCTCCCTGGCTGCAGCCTCAGGACTCGTTGCCCTTTCCCGAGGCGACCGCGTCTCCAACTCGCTCTTAGTTAGAGCTGCCTTTTCCCCGACAACTTTTTGGGAAGTTTTCTTCCCCTTAGAAATCCTTTTTTTCGCCTCTCCTATCGACGTCTTCGTTTTTCCCTTTGATTCTCTTGTCACTTCCATGTGGGGAGCCAGCCTAGCACCGAGGAGAATCTGATGAAGACTCAAGTTTGCCAGGTGAATACATCTCAGATAGTTAGGAGGCCCTACTGTGGTCCGGGCCACGGGTGATAAACTGTACGAGCAGGATTCCTGTCCTCCCAGAACTTAGTCTTGAACTGCAGCCGCAGTGTCTGCAGGCCACGAAGGACTCCCAAACCATTGTCCCTGCTCTTCCTCCTGCGGGGACCAATTTCTTCCCCCCATTCACCTGGCAAACGAGTGTGCATCAGCCCCACCTGGGTGCTAGTCCCAGACCTGCGTTATTCAATTCTCTGCTTCTCCAGAGAAGGGAGAAATTCACATTTTAACAAGCACCAGGACTACTTTGATGTAGAAATATTGCACTAAGGACAGGGGCTAGGATACTTTGAGCCAGTCACCCAGTAACACCCAGTCCAGGTTTGCTGTTGTTGAATGCCTGGGCAAATGTCACCCCCTCTGGAAGCAGTCACTTGTCCCCTCTTCTGTCTGTAATATTTGACTCACATCTAACTCCTCCCTATTTCCCTGGAAAGGCCAAACATAGATTTGTCTCCACATCCTTTGTGTATAGCAGAAAGTTTCACAGCTGATTTAATGTTTGCACAAATTAAATGTATGCATTAAAAATACAGTGAAACCTGCAGCTTCTTCTTCCTCTCCCAGACCAAAGCAAGTTGCTCACATATTCTTGTAGGGACTCTGGTAAAGAGACAGTGGACTCCAGAGGTTAGGAGCATTTGCTCTGGAGCCAGACTGTCCTGAAACTTCCAGGTCCCTAAATCCCTAAGCCTCAATTTCATTACCCCTCAGGCAAGGACAATTACTGGTCCTTGTGTCCTGCTCAGTCAGTGATAGCTGTTCTCACTGCATCGGGGTCCCTGTTCACCCCTGAAGTCAGGGGTGGATCATATTTCAACTTCCTCTACAACCAGCTTGCTTGTTGAAAAGAAACACCACCGGGAGGCTGCCCCCTAAATGGGATATGAGTCAAAAACAAACTGAGTGCCTGGCTGGACTCTGAACTGAACCCAGTGTTAGTTTTTCACGGAATCACGAGCTATACCAAAGTTCCTTTCCAACCTCCCTCCTTCCCCCTGCCTGAAAAGGAACCAAAATGGTGAACCAGTCCAAGAAGATCCAGATCTAAAAGATCAAATGGAACCTCAAAGAAGGCCGAAGACTGGCCCTGAGGCAAAGGACTGTTTCAAGTCTGATTTCAGAAGTGTGTCTTAGGGTTTATCAAATTCAGTATGAATCAGCGAATATTCACTGTGGTGATGACCAGGATATGAAAATGACCAGGGCCTGTAAAACTGAGCAGACTAGGGATTTATAGGCCTCGTTGACTAAACTCAGAGCTTAGCTGGAAAGAAGCCAATGGCATTGCCCTCCACAGAGCCCTAAGGTAGTGATGATCTCCCAGGCTCAGACCCAGAGGCTCTGCTTAGAAGAGTGACCTGGTCACAGTCACTCGCGCCAACATTGCCCAATTTCCATCCCTGTGTGGCTCACTCACAGGGATGGGCAGAGCTGATCTGGGGAGGGTGACAGACGGAGAGAATGTTCATGCAGGGGAGGGTCCATAAGCACACTGCCCTCAAGTCTCATCTTCAGACTTTGAAAAGCATGCATATTTTGCATTCTATACTCATGTTTTTTTATAACACACACAAATTTTGAAGATGGGTGGAGACATGTTCTCCTCCCTCCGCCACCCCACCACACCCTCTGACCTTCTCTTACTGCTCTCTCCCCTTTGCTCTCCACCCCAGCCAGGTAGCCTCCTTGCTATTTCTTGAACATGCCAAACACACCCTTGCCTCTGGGCCTGTGCACCTGCTCTTACTCTCCCCAAAACATTCTTTCCCCAGAATTCCTGCAATTCCTACTCCCTTGCCTCCTTCAGGTCTTTGCTCAAATGCCACCTTCATGGAGGCTCCAGAAAGCTTCTCCTGATGACACACTTCTCTCCTCCCACTCCTGACTCTGTGGTGCTGCTGGCTGACTCTCAACCCCACTCTCTGCAATTAAGGCAGTAGAGTCAAGTACTACCTACAGCGGACTCTGGGATCAGACTGCCTGGGTTCCAATCCTGCCTCTATTATTTGCTAGCTCAGATAAACTTTTAACCTCTCTGTGCTTCAGTTTCTCGGCTGTAAAATGGGTCTAAAAATAGTACCTATTTAATAGGATCGTTGATAAGTAAGTTTACGTTAAGTGCTTGGAATGGTGCCTGGCATGTGGTAAGTGCTCTGTAAGGATTAGCTATAACTATTATATCCAATTGTCCACAGTCTCAACCACTGAGCTCCCTTGCTGCCTGCCAGACACTTAGCTGGGTGTTTTTATATCCAATCACATTTATTCCTCATGGTGTTTCAGTGGTTTTCATTGTCCCCATCTAACAATTAAGGAAATTGAGGGTCAGAGAAGATAAACCTAAGTTATATCAGCTGGGAAGGTGGTGGAGCTGAGATTTGAACCCACAACTATCTCCTCACTACACTATACTAAGGGGATGCAGGTAAAGGCAGTCTTCTACCCATCCTTCAAGGCCCAACTCAAATATCCCCCTGCTCCAAGGAGCTTCTTTCTGCCAATGCATTGATCTGTATTCTACGTCACCAATCAAGTGGTCGGGGTGGGGTTGCAGTTGCCGATGGGGACTTCCCTAGCAATCTGCCTGCTTTTTGAAAAATATGTTTCTTTTGATTTTAGAGAGAGGGAAACGTCAATGAGAAAGAAACATCGATCGGCTGCCTCCTGCACACCCCCTACCACGGATTGAGCCCACAACCCACACATGTGCCCTGACGGAATCGAACCGGTGACCTTTCAGTGCACAGGACAATACTCAACCAACTGAGCCACGGTGGCCAGGGCAATCTGCCTGATTTTGAATTCCAGTTGGACAAATTACTAACTCAAGCAAATTTCCTCATCACTAAACCAAACATAACAGAACATAACTCATAAAGTCACTGCGAGGACTAAATGAGATAATCCATGTAAAGCATTTAATAAATCTTAGCTATTATTACTATTCTTATCAATGTCTTCTTCCGTGGTATACTGTGAGATTCTTGAAGCGCAAGGAACCTTGTTATATCCAGCTTTACTTGAGCAAAATATTTAACTTCCCAGTTGTGTGATTTTTGAGCAAGTTACTTTCTCTATACCTCAGTTTCCTCATATAAAATGATGGTAATTACAATACCTCCTTCATAGGGTTGCTATGGAGATTAAGCAGGTTAATAAATGTGAAGCACTTTGCACACTGCCTGGCATATGCTAAACGCTCAGTAAACATTAGCTATTATTTATGTTCTCCTATGCCTAAATCAGTTTCTGTAACATAATAAGATAATAATAATCAGATTGAGTGAAAGAACAAATTTTTTAAATTTCAAACTTGGCCTTTTAACCACCCACCTTATAAATTTTATATTGTTGTTTCTCTCGATAGGTGCTCAGTTGATCTTTGGTGATGTCGGTCAAGCCAGCTATGGAAAATCCTAATGCAGCTTTGAACTTCAACTGTGTCCCCATGATGTGTATTAGGTCCTATAAAATCTTGCTAATTGTAACTTACTCATAATTTTGGCTAAAGTCTAACCTGAATGTTGTGTCCACTGAAACACCAACCTTTCCTGCCTCCCTATAGATCCAGGATTCCCTAGAGGAATCAGTCACTCAACAAACACAGGAGCTGGAGACACATTTCAGTTAACCTTTTCCAGGCTTTTGGAACAGAGTTCCAGGACTGTTGTTCTTCCTGCCTTAAGCCCCAGTAGATGGACCTTCCCTGAGAGGAGGACCATCCAGGTATCATTTGCTACAAGAATATAGTGGAGAAAACTGAGGCTCAGAGAAGTTAAGCAGTTTGCCTAGGGTCACACTGCTGATAAGTAGCAGAGCCAATAATCAAACTGAGGCTCAGAGAAGTCAAGCAGTTCGCCTAGGGTCACACTGCTGATAAGTGGCAGAGCCAATAATCAAATCTCGTTGTCCTTTTTGCCCATGGCCTGCCAGACATCTGCTCATAATGCTGCCTTAAAGAGTCCTTTTGAGCATTAGAAAAAATAGTACATAAAGTTTTCTGCACAGCGTAGGCATTCAAAAATGCCACCTTCTGCTTCTGCACAAGCCCCTTCCCAACTCCTTCTCTCCTTTGCTTCATATCCCGAGGCCAAAAGATTTTTACGTAACAGGCCTCGCCCCTGTTCAAATTTCAACTCTAGCTTAGGCCAATAATTATACCTTACTGAGCCTCAGTTTCTTCTTCTGTCAAGTGGAGGAA